CTCATTATTTTTCATTGCATGGATGAGGGTAACGCAGATGATGAAGACGAAACAGATTGTGATGACGTGCCTGAAGAAATAACGGAAGACGAATATAATGAACTATTTATGTAATAACGAAAATCAATAAAGTATATAGGTAAAGGTATGTTATTTCTTTAAAATAAAAGTATTTTTCTATATTTAAATTTTTTTAATCTATATTTTTTTATATTCGGCGTATACCGCACACCCGTAAATTCCAATGTTATTTTTTGTATTAAAAGTGCGCGTTATATGCCGGAATATACGCTAAATGTGGGCTCATTATAAGTGGGTCTTACAGTGGAATGGTAATGTTTAAATATGTGAGAAAGGGAAGGAATCAATAGTGATAAGCTTTACATAATAAAAGAAAGTTGAACATAAAAATTTCAAGAAATGATTAAAAGTCTGCCATGAACATTATACTGAAAATTGTTGCACCTAAGGCTGGAAAAAAACATGTAAATCTATGTAAAATTAAGAAAACATAATTAAAAAAGAACAAAAAAATATATATTTCTATAAAATACAAAAATTATGCAAATCATTTATAATACATAATTTTATGCTATTGTTGCATATGAAGCAAAGACATGACAAATTATTTTTAAAATGCCAATATATTTCCTTCTTTGAGACTAAAATCTTGTGATATGAATTTTTTTCTGATAATGCAACTGTAGATATGTATAAAATTTATGAAAATTGCCACATTGTTTTAAGCTATTTAATAGAAAATAAAGATACACTAAAAGAAATGACAAGACTTCAACGAATTACAAACCTGGTGTTTTCAATTTGTTTAGCAACTGTTTGTTCAGCAAAGAGATTTCTTATATGATTTGTTTCTTCTTGATATAATTTCAATTCACTAACAACTTTTGCACGCTTATCAAGTAGTTCTGAAAAAAGAATTTTTTTTTCAAATTTAGCAAGTATATATACACATACAAATTAAGGAAAAAAAAATAAGAACTAAAGAATTACTACATAATAATTTTTAAAAAAGTACATGAAAACTAAATGCCAACATAACATTATAATTTAATATGCTTTTTACCATAAAACAGAGAAATTTAAGCTCATATTTAAAATACCACAGAATCTTGAAAACTTTGTACAGTTAAATGAATTTTATACAGAGGATGAAATATATAGCTAAATGATTTAAGATTCATTGGAAAAGAGTAAGTCAAAATATTACACAATAATACAAACTCAAAGTAATGAAATTAAATAGGGCTATACATCAAGTTTGACATAAAAGAAAAAATCAGTGGGACATCTCTGGATCTGAGTTGATAAAAAGAAGACAAACCCTGAGAGTTTGAAGATATAAAAATTTTTCAACTATTATGGTGAATCATTATTACATCTAATACAATATAGATTTTTTTATTTCTTGCTATGAGAAAAATTAACTCCTATTATGATTTAGAAGCAAAGTGAAGCAATTTAAAATATTATGAATTTGACAATAATTTAAGCACTGTTTTATTATTTTTTACAATAATAGACAAAAATATAAATATTTCAACTTTAAGAAATTTTGTTGGTGTCAGCCAGAAAAGCTGGTACCAACATACATGGTTTATCTGGCTGGTTCCTATAAAGCTTTGCACATAAAACCACTCATATTTTAACAAATTATGTAATATTATTATTTTTTTTTAAAGATTTATAATTGCTCTGATGCTGTTATATCAATGTTTAAGTTCTTTTTCAGATAGGTTATATAATAAAAACTAAAATGCTATTAACTTTCTGAAAAAAAAGAAAAACTGATACATTTATACCCTTAATGCTATTAACAATATTAACCGTTCATAATGTAATTTTTAATCTGTAGATATGTAACAGTTATTGATAATTTTCAGAAATGAAATGCAATTAGAAATAAGGATTTACAATAACTAAAAGTATACAATAACAGTCAGAATGTTTTATTATTATATGTTTGAACATTCTGAAATTAGTACATTAGGATTTTGATTGTTTGAATCTGCTTCATTCCGGATATTTCTGTTTTGCCAAAGTTGATTGTGAAGTTTTATTTATTTATTATTTTTTTTACAACATTTTAAATAATTACGTTTTTCCTCAATAAGCAACTTTATTTCAGCTTAAAGAAAAAAAAAAAAAAACTTTTTGTACACACTTGTGCTTTTGCAAATGCTTGTGTGTTTTTTTAGAATTGGCCATTTTAAACAAGTAACAAATAAATGTTGGTTAATTTTCAAAGAAATTTGCTGGTTAATTATTGTTAGTGTAGTTTAGTTTGACTGTCTTTACATGATGGCAAAATGCATAATAAGAATGGGTAGAAAACATGGTTTGCCAAATCCCTAGATTTCAAGAAAAAACCCAACCCATGTGGATTTTTCATGAAAAAACCCCCAATTTTTTCAGAAATATTATACTGACTATATATATATACTAAATAAGAATAAGACATTGGTAGTATATGCTTGATGTTACAAAGGAATTAATGAAAGAAATTATTTTGTTTGAGTATGAGTAGTTATAGTCGCTTTTCAACTTTACCTATCATGAATTGCATAATAACGAAATTACTAAAATGATTCTTTACAAAAAAAGGGAAAATATTCTAAGTGGTTTATTTTAAATTAGAAATAAACACATAAGTTAAAGAAGGAAATTTCCAGAAACATTGGGAAATGAGATTATTCAAGGATTGTAAATGCACATAACGTACTTGTAACGCATGGTATTTTCATTTGTATTTTACAATAAATGAATTTTTTGTATGTCTTATAATTATCAACTAATCTTAATAAAAAATTTTTGCTTTTGTATGAATGAAAAAAAAGGTCATAAATTTTAAACACTTGTTTTCTAAGCATTTCAAGCATATTTGTGATTTTAATGAGCATGTTAAAATGTTCATGAAATTCAATCAACAAATATGTTTTAATTCATTCAATGCAAAAACACGAATAAACATATCACATAACACCAATACCTATAATATACATTCCCTTTTCAATAATATATAATTTCATCATGTTCATTATAAAACTTAATTTTTTGCAATTAACAAAACTTTTATCAAATAAAATTGCTGGACATTGAGAAATCCCGGATGTGAAGCTTGCAATACTTCCTTGTGTAATCACATAAATTATTAATCTCAGATCAATAAGGTCATGAGAACTGTCAGATTGTCTCTAAAAATTTTCCTCACACCCCTCTTGTGTAACTACTGTTTCCTTAAATGTATGTCATAATATGTATGTCAAACATCACTATATAAACTCTGTAACCTCACTTCTAGCTCATAATAAAGCTGTTGTCATTTCGATCCATGACTCTTTCTATCATTGGAAGTCAACAAAAATATTAACAAAACAAAAATAAAATGCTAAAACGTAAACGAAGTTCTTTCTACACATTAAAATGCAAAATATAAGATTATATCAAGTGTCAAAGAAATCTTTAAACTTTATCATTGAAAATAGAGTGTTTTTCAGTCTCTAAGAAATTGTTCTGGTTTAGACGGAAATAATCAAAAACAAGAAAATATTTTTGACCAGCTGTCATGAGAGAAGCAGTAAAAAAATGACTGATTCGAAGAGATGTTTTTTCTTTCAACTAATATTCTAAATGAAAGATTTTCTGCCAAACTATGGATTCAACAATAAAACTTCATCTTTAAACGTGGATATTTTTGTAAGAGGTAGAGTAAAGTAGATGGAAACAGGTTTAGTATACAATAAAAATCTTAAAAAGAATTGGGTATATTTTGTTCTAATCCTTAAAAATACTCATCTATAGACAAACCTTTCTTAAGAGAAAAATTTATGTATAACCTATTATATTATGTATTAAAACTTTCTGTATGCTTTTTAAGAATATATCATATGTCATGTTATTTATCTTAAAATAAAAATTGCTTATCAAGATTGTTATATGGTATATATCCATTGATGCATTTTAATAAATTCTAGTACTAATGGGTCTAGATAAGAAGATCAAGATTTTAAGACTAAAATGTATTTAAAAATGATGTTACCTTTATAATTGGAGTATTTCGATTATCTTTTGACTTTGACATGTTCAAAAAATAGATTTTTCTGGATAATAGGTGTTTATGGTAAACAGAGATCAAAACATGCATTAATCAATAAAAAAAAGCAAATGATAATCAATATCAATTTTCATACTTGTTATGTCATTAGTGGATTAGTTAAATAACATTTAATTAATGTTTAACCCTCTAAGTTTGAGTCCCTGGATAAAATTGTACAGAAATTTTTCTGCTATATATTATTTTTCCTTTCAATAACATTGAAAATCCGTTTTTCTGATGCAGCAGAGCCTGCATCCGAAAATTTGAAAAAAGCTGTGACTATCGTTCAGGGGGTTAATAAGACGAAATATGCAAAGGCAAGCAGATAATAATGTTTACATTTTCTTCTCATGATACGTTTATCTTCACTTTTTTCTTCATTTGATAAGAAGAATTAGTAGCATAGATATTCAGACAAAGGCAAAAAAAAAAAAAAATCTCTAAATTTCAAAAGTGAACTAATCCTACGTAATAACAATAATATTTAACAAGAAACCGAAATGAGTAGATTTTTTAATGAAAACATTTCCAATTCAAACCAAAACAAAGCATATTTGCAGGCGTTTCTTCCAAATATTATCAACATTCAGTTTAATTGATTTTTATACATTATTCTTTTCACCGAAGTTGATTTTCTTTAATGAGGAAATATCAGGGCTCGAAAAAACTCAGAAATTTTACCCGTCCCCGGGGACGGCTCGTCCAACTATGTACCCGTCCTCCTTTGAAACTAACCCGTAGCTTCTAAATAAATAAAAATATAATTTTCTCTTATTTATTACAAACATTTATATAAATTGCACAATGAATTAGTAGTTACTAGGATTACAAATACTAGGATTACATTATACAGTAATAAAATAAATACTAGGTTACTAATAGTAGCCTAGTATTTCTGTTATGAAATAATGCATTTCTTTTATGAAATAATTTAAATGACGAAGGTCAAGTTATCTGGAATGTCAATTTATCTGAGGGTACTACGTTTTTAAGGAATCAAATATGACGTTTGCCAGTTGCACAATCAAGCCAATGACTTACAGAGGTTTGTGCACAGAAATCTTAAAGGGGCTTTCCATTTAGGTAGACATTCATAATTGCGTTTAACGCTTCTTGTTTAAGATCAGTACGTAAGTTGTTTTTTTTTCTTTCTTTTTTACGGAAAAATGCATTACATTAACGGAAAAATGGCCGTCTGCGCGGACGTCGGATTTGAGAAAGTGGTTGTCCGCTAGGAATTTTTGACCGCCGAGGACAGGCGGTTTTTCGAGTCCTGGGAAATATAATTTTTTCCTTCCTTACATTGCAACAAATCTGGTGCGTTAAAAAAAGTGAAGATTTCAGAAATAAAACATTTCCCGATAATGGATGTCTGGATAATATAATTATTACAATTTAGCAGGGTTGGCAAGGTTTAGGATAGAATGGATTAATCCACGGTTTAAACTGTCCTGTCCAAAACCCTTTTACTCAAATTATGTCACAATTTTGTCTGAATAATATTTAAGAAGTAAAATAAACATAGAACTAATAACATATCGATAATTAAATATACTATAGAATATTTGTTTTTAAAAGTACATATAATGTCATATTAATATTGTTTGACTCTTCAATTTAAACAAAGGAAGATTAATCAGTAATCAAGTTCAATTGGTCCTCTCATTCAATAGTACATTACTGAAGTTTGGCCTTGCCATACTTTAAAATATTAGGGACTAAGTGCTTGGTTCGTCATAAACAGGTTTATTTATCTATAGTACTATTCAGGAATACTTTTATTTCATTCATGTTCAATTCTTTTAGCATAGTGGTGATACATCACCAGTGTCAGTAACTGAAACTGATGTCATGCCCTTCAAAACTGTTAATACATTTTTCAGTTATTTTGTATTTTCAATTTAAACTAATATATTTATATTTAAAAACAATTTTTTTTAAAATAGATGTCTTTTTTATCATCCTGTGATGCAGAAATTATAGCATTTTCTAAAAAAAATATTGTGAAAAATAAAAGGTTAATTTTTGAACAAATTTAGTATTTTTTTAAAGAAAAATTATTATTTTTTAATATTGCCATATTTATCCTTCTGCAAAAATATTATTTATCAGTTTTAAAAGCATATTTATATTTAAAGGACTAGGTATTCACTTTTGTTGTTCAATGAATTGTGGAGCTTCAAAAATTATAAACCTTTTCCTATTATATATTATTTTCTTTTAATAAGTTATAGTAAATTGTATAAAAAATATCAAATATTTATTGATACATATAATTATTATGTTTACAATGGTTACACCTATAGAATTTTTACCTTTTACCAAAGTTCAAGATTTTGGACACTTTAAGACAGTATAGGACGGTTTTGCCCAGTTTAGGACAGTTTTACCCAGTTTAAGACAGTAAAACCCACGTGTCCTGTCCAAAACTAGTTTAGGACGTCCAAAACCCCAACCCTGCAATTTAGTGATGCAGTGAGTAACTGTAATGTTAAAGTGAGTAGTAATAAATAGTAAAGTACTCACATTTACAATATTAGTCAATACAGTTTCAATGTTTGAAACATACCTTCTGGAATAGGAGCATCAGGATATACCAATCTATAAATGTCAATGGCATAATCAATCATTCGAGTATTTTTCACCATTTCAAGTTTTCCAAGAAGTAATTCTCTTTCATCATATACCTACAAACCAAATAATTTCAATAAATATAAGGAAAGGCAATGAATACAACACAGAAAAAGTTATTTTTTAAGAATATAAGAATATAATAGATTTTCAGGTTATCAAACATTTATGAGAGGAAGCAAAGTAGGTAACCCCATGGCAGAATTCTTTTGGGATTTCTATGACATTCCTCTCTAATAATAATATCTTTCTGCAAGATGCTTTTAAAAATAACAAATATACATGTTACTAAGTTAATGTAACAGAAGCGTTAACTTAAAAAAAAAAAAAAACTTTTCAGAACCAATAAAATAATTTTACTAATTGAATATGTAATATTTTTTTAATTCTAATATGTCAATATTCTTGAATTTTGTAGAGGGGAAACACACTAATTATTTTTTTTTCTTCTTTTGTAAATCATCATCTCATTAAAAAATAGTAATAAAATTTATGAATATCTTTTATTGGAAGGGGGGATATTAATAAATAAATTTTTTAAGTTATTTTAAAACTATTTTTTTAAAATAAATGCCGTTTATTTTTAAATGCATCTTAAAAATGTTGATTTTCTCGTAATTTCCACTTTAAATTATAGAAAAAGCTTTCAAGTTGTTTATCAATTAATAATTTTTTGCTAGTCTACACTTTTTTTGAAAAAAGAAATATGCACAGAGATTGCCCTTTAGCATGCCCTTAATTGTTTTTTAAATTTTTTTAAAAACTTTAATAATGAGAGAGAATTGCCATTTGAAATATACTCATAAAATAGCATGAATTGATTGATTGAATGTAGGGTTTAGTGGCACAAAGTCCAAATGAGGACATGCTGCGCCAGACAATACGGTATAAAATAGCATGAAAGGATAAGTAAAAAAATGTGAGCACAAAATTCAGTTATTACATTATATTACACATTTTGATAAATATTTATGGTGTTAACGGAGTCTCCTTTCAAAATTTATAGTGTCCTTTTCAAAGAGGAAGCGTCCTGCCCTTTTTTATTCCTAGGGAGAACTCTGTATTCATTCCTCATGCATAATAACTATTAAGCAAATTATTTTACACACAATTAATGCAAAATTATAATTTAAAATTCTATTCTATTCTTAGTTACATTTAGCACTTTTCCAAATTCTCCTCAATGTTTATGAAACAATATCTCAACCATTGAAATATAATACTATACATATTTAATACTATACAAATATACATTATTGACAATTATTTTTTTGTAAATATTAAGAGGTATAAATCATGGAATATCTAACCAGGGATTGTAATATTTAAGAAAACACAAAAAACTATGATTCATAAGTAAAAATCTCGACAAATATGACTGGAAAATAGGTCTGTAAAGAAAAACAATAAAATATATAACAAAAAAGTCATTAAACAACAGAGGCAATTCCTACTTTTCCTGTGATTGCGATGGGAGCTTAACTTATAAATTGTGTAATAAGGCATCTACTTATAATGACAATAAAGAAACACAGGGTACAAATGTAATCTAGCAGTAAATACAAATAGAACTATGAAAATAATAACTTTCTGTTCATTTTGGCATTGCTCCAAAAAACTTTTTTTTTTGTTTCTTTTTTTTCTTCTGTAATATGTTTGTTAGTAGTCAATATCAGGGGTCTGCCCAGACATTTTGTGAAAGGTCCGTTTTTGTAAAACAATTACTCGTAATTTGTGAATATAAAATAAATGTTAAGTCACATTCTTTCAACCAGAGTCCGCTTTTGTGAATGTGTGCAAATAGGGTCCGTTATTGCAAAAAAATTTTTTCAAGGAGTTTTTAAATCATAAAGAGATACAAGATTATGCTCAACACTGTAAATATATAATGAAAAAATATAGTTTTAAAAATTAAACAGCAATTACAGCTACTAAATTAGCGATGCAACATACAAATATTTGGAATTTAGCCTATACTGCTGAATGCAGAATATTAATTTCGGACGAATAAAGCAAGAAGACAAAATTTAGTTCGTTTACATCTGTCTTTCCTTTCCCCCTCCCTTCCTGGGAAGGGTTTATTCGATTAACTAAACAATAATGGAGATAAACAAATATGTGAAGGGTCTGATTAAAAGATAAATTATTTTGTGAAGGGTCCGTTTTTAAGTTAGAATATTTTGTGAAGGGTCCGTTTTAATGAAAATATATTTTGTGAAGAGTCCGTTTTAATGAAAATATATTTTGTGAAGAGTCCGTTGACGGAGCCAAATTTCTTCTAAACAGACCCCTGAATATATATAGCAAAACAAATTCAATAGCTACATAAATTGTGAAATTCTGCTTTGCTTCCCCACTTGACATATAGACAAGAAAAGGAAAAAAAAAAAAAGAAATTGTCAACCAAAAAATGTAGTTTGATTATAAATAAAAAAAAAGGTCACTTCTGTCATTTTTTATTGTTTCAAAAATAAATCCCCCCCCTATCTGTATGTTTATTAGTTGATGCATGTTTAATACTTAAATTGAAAAGAAGCATTTGCTTCCCAACATATTGCATAGAAACAAAACAAAAAAAATCACTCTTTCATACAAACATACTCTGAAATTGAATACAAATAACAGATCTTAAGAAAAACATTCAATATTTTTATAACACATTTGTATTGCTTTTATATACATATGTATTTTAGCAGTATGAACAGATTGTAACTCAAAGCTTCTCTTAGTAAATTGATGTTAATATAATAGACAAGGAAATAATTAAACTTCGTCATCTACCTTTACTACTTTAAATACAGAGAGTAGTCAGTTCAGTAGTCAGTTTTCCGTGTTCGCGGATTCTAAAGTTTGGCGGTACTTTTCGGTTATTCGGAAGCAAGAAAATTCATGTATCTTTTATTTTTGGAAAAGTTCACTTTGTTTTATATAACAATATAAAAATAGTTGAATTTATTTGCACCAGAATAATCGAAAAGTACAAAGTTTTGTTTTATAAGAAAATGATGAATGGTGGTAAAAACGATAAAATTATTGAGGATTAAATTGAATAGTTATTTTCAGAAATCGCCTGATTATTAATATCGAGAACAAGTAATTTAAATTTCAATCATCAATACGTTAAATTCGTGCGGGCAAGATAGGAAGAATAAGTTTTGAGCACTTTTATAGGAAAAATAAAGTTGGTTTTCTTAATGACAAAAATGAAGCTATTTTTAAGACCTGTTTAACTGATAGAAATTCCAGCAAAGGAAACACCAAGTGCCTATCTAGGTAAGCACCAATTTTTGGTGTCAAATCCCATTCAGCCATAGAATCAAGAATATGCAATTTAAAGGATGATAATTATGGTAACAATTACAAAACTAAGAGATAATGTGGGAATCAACTAGTTAAACATAATAATAAATTTAAAAGAAAGCTTTCTTTTATTAAATTGTTACAGTTGGTTCGTTATAAGCTGCTTATTTTTGCCTAACTAAGGCTGCGTTAACTCTAAAATGCGAAACACGTATGCGTTCAGCACATATGAAATTGATCCTTTTACAAATAGTTAAAAAATGTTTCGTTTCATTTTCAAATTAAATCAGAATGAAACTTAAATCTCTTTCTCAAAACATTGAAGACTGGCTTACAACTTAGAAGGAGTGATTGTGTAGTTTTCTAAATAAATATTTTTTTCAACCCAATTAACCTAAAGCATAAGATAAAGAAATTCTTGAATCAACATTTCTAACACTTTGCCATTTGTAAAGGTGTTCAAATCTATGATCCGGCTACCACTGAGAATGTTTTACGTTAGTGCTGTATCTGATGCAATCAGAACTTGCACCTAGACCTATATGCCATCGCTGGGATTCGAACTTCAATGACGATTGCTCCATTTCCGGAGCTACCACAGCCCCCATGGGAAGAATTAGTAAAATGAAAATCATCTTTATATGTCTAGCTATTAAAATAATTAGTTATGAATAATATTTAAAGATATGAGAACCATTAGAGAGAAAACTATGCGCTAATTACTAGGTGCAGGCACGGGATCAAGCGAAGTGTCATAATAATTATGCAGAATGTCCACTCCAAGCAGTAAAGCTAGGGGCAGATCAAAACAATAATTTTAGGGTGCATTTAATAATTGAGAATTATAATTATAGCCGCTTCTAATATTTCATTTTTGAACAAAATATAGCTATTTTTATTGTAAAAGATAATTCTAGTTGACTAAATTTGGGTCATTAAAAGATAACGGTAATGGTTTTCTAATTTTAATTATCACTTAAATATTGGGGCTCAAATAATTTTCAGGTAGTACTACGAAATATTTTTAGCAAAATTGAAATTTTTGAATTGAATTAGCATCATGAAATTTTTGCCATTCTATTGAAAAATAACAAAAAAGATAGGAGATATCAGAATTTCCTTTTTTTTCCTTTGTGATTGAGTTGACTATACAAACTAAAAAGCCACTGCAATGTAAAGAATAAGAAACGCTGGTCACATTGCTTTTAAAAAGCAAATTTTGTTAATTGTTTCTAACATAAAGATCTCTCAAAAACAGTAATTATTATTTGAAAATAATTTTTTATTTTTTTAAGTAATTTTCTTGAACTAAGAATAAATAAAAATTAAGCATATTGTAAAAGAAATTTATGACTAAATCGTGTTTCAGAATTAAGCTAAATGCATAATTAGGCATCTAAAATTATTTTTATATTCAATATTGAGAATAATGTTCAAAGAATAGTTTTATTTTAATTATTGACCCATAGCTACTTTATCTTGCTATCTCATAAAATGTTGACTTTTTAAAATATGATCAAATTTACAGAACAAATATACTAATGCCTAATAGTACATATATAAATTTATTTTAACTGAGATATTAATCCAAATATAATTTAGAGAACAATTTTCAATTGTTCATCTTTAATTGAATTACTGTAGAGTCTTATTCTTGAAAAAAATCTTGAATGAGAAGTATTATATTAAATAATTCAATCACTATTATTAATGCAAAACTATTAAATAAAGAAATCAAATTTTCCATTTTTAAGGATAGGTATAATTTAATCTTTGAGACATTAATTCACAGGTTGAATGCCAATATTTACATAAATATTCACAACAAGAATATTCTTTATTGGAATACACTCAAGAAATTCTTACAAAAATTATTTCTGAGAAATTTAAATCTCTAAGTAAAATACAGTTTGTGGTCAAAGCATTTTTTTGTATGGGAATACTGTTTAGAAGGCATTAAAATAAATGCAGATAAAATTTCATTATTTTTAGAAATAATTTTATAAAGCCTTGAAGAGATTTTACTACATCTTGTCAAGACTTAATGTGATTCAGGACTGCACAACTCGGACTCTAAGATACAAAAATGTTTGTAAGACATTTTGAAATAAACAAAAACTACAGCATAAAAATCTTTTATTTTGGAAGAAATGTACTTTATACAGTGAAAGTCAACAATAAATGCTTCTTAATTAAAATAAGATTTTTTTGTTATGTTACCAAATGACATAACACATTCAGGTATATACATATTTTAAAATTGTGTCATACATTTATTATAGCTTTTGAGGCGTTTTAGGAATTTCAAATAATTTCACTTTAGGATAATTAAATTTTAAAAATAACATTGAAATAATTTTGCATTTTATACAGTAAAGTGTTCAAAAACAAACCAAACAAAATAAATAAAATTTCAAGTATCAAAATACAAATAAAAAATCTTTTTTTCCTTCCCGTTTAGAAGGTTTTCAGGGTTTCATTGTAAATATTTATAAAGTTTACTGGTCCATTCTTGATGGAATACAAACTTGAATATGGAAACAAGATTCTTTATCCAAACCTTATACTTTGTATTAATTGAAAAACAGCTGAAAAAAAATAAAAAAATTTAATTTTTGATCAATCAGTCACACACAATAGAAGCAACACTTTACACTCAAATGTTTTCTATAGCAAAAAAGAATTTAATTTGTGACGGGAACAAAGATATTCCATTATTAGAACTCATTCGCATAAGAATAATTTGTAAATGTATGTACATTATAATAGGAAGATACAATCTTTTGAAAGATCAAATTGTTGATAACTATGCCAGTTGGTATGGATATTTAATTATAAATTCACCTAGTGATATCCCAGACATTTTGTGAATGATCCTGTTATTTTGAAATTAGTAAATCTACTCAGTTGGTGGTTTGTTTCGGGAAAAATATTTTCAGAATAATTACAGTAGAATGGGATTCTTTCTGTCAAAGTCTTATTTTTTTTTAAAAAAAAAAAAAAAAAAAAAAAAAAGAATTTTAAGGTTAAGGTAGAAAAAAAAAAGATCAAGTAGTAGAGCTATATTAATTACTCTATATAGAATTTTTTTTATAAGAACCTTTAAAATACTGTGCCTGCATGTTAAAATTCACTGGTCTCTTGCACAGAGTAAAGAGGTATATTGTGAACCTCCTTCATGATACATTTTCAATATCACGGAAAAAAAAAAAAATTGAACTAAATTTTAAACTTTAAAAAAAAAAATATCTGGAAATTTTGGTTAGCAAACATTGTCAGATACATTTTTAAATAAGAAGCTTCACTAATAAGAATTAGAAAATATTGCTAAATTAACAAATCTAAACTTATTTCAAATTAAAAGACAGCAATGAAAGTTCATCTGCAGTTTTATTGTCAAGATATAAATAGCCACATACAAGAATTGATCCACCATGATTGAAAAATAAAATTAAGCCTCAAACAATTTGTATGATTTTAGGTGAGGAAAAGTGGATATTAACCTGGCAATGATATGTTAGAAACTAAATATAAGTAAATAAAACCTTCACAGTGTGGAGCCAACAATAAAGTTAAAACTCATAGTCAAGTCTAAACATTTAATTCAAAAACCTGTGCCAAATTTAACAGGGAAGTTTCACTAGGCGATTTTAGTTGGCAGAAACAGTTACCAATATAAAAAGTCATCTCAAATAGTAAATAAATAATTAAAGTGTTATTTCAAGTTTACAATATTTAAAATTAAAACTTACCAGATCCACATACAACAAATATGAATAGTCCTAGAAGCCAGGGTCCAACGGCATATTTTTCATCTTGGGCTTTCTGTAAGAATGAAATAGTATAAATTCATAATTAGATTTTCATAGGTATATAATGAAATTACAATATGAATATTTTTTAATCCAGATTCAACCATTTTTTGACAGACTTCATTTTTATTCAAGTCACTTAAACATTACATAAGTAGGACTAAACAATATATCGATACAAAGTCAAACAATTATTTAATATATACATTATAAGGCTGCTATAACAACTTTCATTTCGTGTGCAGCATCAGAACTCTCATTGAAGACGTTGATATAAAAATACTAAAATGATTTGACATGTGAGGTTCTTTGCCTACGCTAATGCTATTAATGCACACGTAAATGACTATTTTGATTTTGTCTAGTTACAAAGACAAAGTTTGTTTTATGCTGAATTGAAAGAGAATTGAATTATTCCGGGCATTTTCATGTGTAGATCAATGTCAGAATGTATTAAGATTTTTTTAAAGCATTTTTTTTCGTGATTTTATATTTCTTGAAGTTCATTTTGAATGGGACTTATATTACTTTGCGATTGTACAGTAGGGAACCGATTATCCAGAACGATCGGGACCATCGCTATTCCGGATAACTGATTTTTTCGGTTTTCTGAATCGTTACAAAAATCCGTTTTTTTTTTAATTGTTAAACCCAAATAAAAAAAAAAAATATTTGGAAATAATCTTAAAAAGAAAAAACGATGAAGCAATACATTAATGATTATTTCCAAAATGATGGTAAGATAAACATCTTTCAAAAAAGAAAGAAAAATCCTAAAATCTTATGAGGAAAAAAATTTTTTTTTTAAAAATGGCGGGAAAATTTATCGAATTTTGTTCCGGTTTTTTGGTCTTCCGGTTTTCTGATTTCCGGATAACGGGTTCTGTACTGNTTTTAGAAGAAAAATTATTCTAAATATATATATTTATTTTAAGTGGTGCTATTTAATAGCAGTATTTTGTATTTAAATTATCTATACTTCGTAAAATTTTTTTATTTTACTTTTTTTTATTTCTTAACCAATGAATCTTTAGTAGTTTTTATTTTAAAAAACTAAAACAAATTTACATTTATTCATTTGATATTCAACCAATTTTATTATTTGAAATAAAAAAAAGCAATTATTGGTCCACTAGTTTTTTTTGTTTTCTTTTTCTTTATTATTTTTAAATTTTCAACCCTACAAACCTTAATATGTTTTTATTTCCAAACAAATTAAAACAAAGTTAGCTTTTATTTTTTATGAGAATTCGGCTGATAGTTAAAATGACAAAACCTTTTTTTAGTAAAATAAAAGTTCAGCGATGCTTTGATGATTTAAAAGTAGTACTTTTTCAGCACAACAGCCCCTTATAGGCTTTGGCTGCCTCAA